GTGAGGTTAGCAGTGACAGACGCGTATTTTTTCTTATGTCGTGGTCCCTAAAGGCAAGTCACCACTTCCTCTCGTGTCCCATGGGGGAAAGCTTGCTGTGCTGGACTCCTGGAAGCATGCTACCATCCCGTACCTTCTGGGCAATTTAAGAGGTTCTCAAGGGAAATGTTAAGGGCTCGTGATGTTTCTCCTTAGACTCTGACCCTAGGACGATGCCCCTTTATGAGAGGAGGCCCCTCTGCCCAGCGCCGTGGTCAGGGTGTTGAGTGCCGGGTCAGGAGTTCTGAGTTCAGATCCGGCCCCTGCCGCTCACCAGCTGCGCGCCCTTGGAGGGTCGCCCTCTTGGAAGCTCTGTTTTCTCGTAAGTCCAGTGGGGATGTTGATGCTGCAGGAGGGTTGAAGGAGGCGGCGTGTGTTCAGAGCTCAGCTCAGTGCCTGGCATGTCATGCGTGCGCAGGACATGCTGCTGGCCAATGTTGTGATATTGAGGTCGCCTTTATAATACTCTTGGGCATTTGCATTCAGGTGTTTTTGCTTGAGTGGGTGAGACAGAGGAGGGGTGACTGGTGAGTGGCCAGGGGCCCTTTCCTACCAGTCAGCATCTCGTGTCCTGAGTGATGCTTGCAGAAGGAGAGGCGGAGGGTCCCTAGACGTCCTGCGTGGGACGCCTGTTGCAGAGCCGCCCCGCGGGTGCACCGGCCATGGGCTCCTGTTTGCCACCAGCGACCGGCAGAATGGCTGGCGGCCAAATGCACAAGCGGGAAATGATCTCTGCATTTAGCTTTGGGATCGTTCTGGGCACAGCCTCTTTGTCTCCTGGATAGAGTGTGTTGATTGCCTCTGGAGCAGGCTGGGGGCAGGAAAAATGCACAAACCTCCACGGAGCGCCCTTGGAGGAGCTGGCCCCGTCCTGTCTCTCCGTTTCCATCTCTGTCTCGTGGCCTCTCCCTCTCTGTGTCTCTCTGCCTCTCTCGCTTCAGTTTTATCTTTTATTTGATCTTTCCTGTTCGAGAAGGCCATCTCTAAGTTTCCGATGGCTGGTCCCTTGGGGGCAGGGGAACAGAGAGGTTCTCGCTCCCAAATCTTGGATCACAGGGGCTGGGGGGTGGGCAGGGCTGGCCATCAGCAAGAAGCGTTCATTCCTTCGTTGATTCCTTCCTTCATTGAATCACTCATTTCACAACTGTTTGTTGAGCCCTTCCTGGTGCCAGTTCTGTTCCAGATAGAGCAGTGACCACACAGATGTCTGCTCATGTGGAACAGCACGCGGCTACTGCACGGTCTGAGATCAGCGCACGAGGTGGGGATCCCGCTCTGCCACTCACGCCCTGTTCCACCTGGAACAAGAAACTAGACCTTACCGAGTCTGTTCCGCATCTGTGAATTATCTCAGACGGTTTTATGAGAGTAAAGAGGGTGAGGCCAGGGAATCACGGAGCAGTGTCTGACACCGTGCGCGCTCAGCGCTCCGTGGCTGTTCCTGTTGGTTAGATAATGGCTGTGGGAAAGGAGCCGTCCGTGTACAAGAACCTCACTTGTACTGGAATCTCCAACCTCGGTGGCATTCAGAGGACAGCTTTGTCCCTGGATTTGCGGTAGCTGGGTGGGCGATGCTGAGCCCAACGTGTCCACCTTTCCATGGGGGAGAAATGACCTCAGGGGGCGCAGAATTCCTGGGGGGTGAGCTGCGTCAGAAGCGCACCAATTCATTATCCATCCCACAAATCCTCTTGGTGAAGCCACGGATAGACAGCCTTGCAGCCCTATGAAGAGGTGTTTGAGGCTTTATGACTCCATTTTACAGACGAGGAAACTGAGGCTCAAAAACGCTGTGTGACTGGCCCAAAGACTGACAACTGGAAATGGCAGAAACGCCCATGGACCCAGATGCTGTCTGGTCCAGCGTCCACGCTCTTGTCCAGTTCCCTTTCTCCCTGCCTCAGATGCCCCCTCAGGGTTCCCAGCCTCCATCGAGAAGGCTTTGGCCCCTACCTGTGTCTGGACAAAGAAGGAGGAACCCTCGGGTTGGATTTTGGGCGCTGGCCAGCCTTCCAGGGAGCTGGAAGCAGAAATGCTTTTCCTGGCACAGCTGCCCGTGTGCCTCCTGGATTTCCCCGGCAGGATGCTGCTCGGCTGAGCCTGGAAATATCCCCCTTAAGTGAGGCAGGGTTTAGAGTCCGGCCGAGTCCCTTCACTGCTCCTCTTTCCCTTCATGATGTCCCCCTGGCTCGACGAGGCCACAGAAGGTCCGTGCAGGTGGAGGTGGGATATTATTTCAGAGAGCGGCTGTGGAGGGTTGACGGGGCAGGACATCGCCCCCTAGGAACTTGCCGCCTATTTAATTCACTTTCAAGCCCCCGCCCAGGGTGAAGGAAGTCCCCTTCATTGCTGGTGGTCTTCAATGCCTCTCTCTAGTGCTCACTAGTCTGCCTTTTTAACGAAGAGAGAGCAGATCTCAGGCTCCCACGTAACTGTGTCTACTTAGAAGCTAAGGATATTTTTGTGCTCATATTGTATTTATTTTCTGCTTCTATTTGTCACAAGTGGTAACGGTGTTGGTTTGCAAACCGGCCTCCATACACAGAGGGCAAGGAGAGATGGAAGAAGAGGCAGGCCACTCCAGACGGGTGGGCGGCAGGTTTGATAAGCAGGGGAGCTTTGCGAGACGAGTGGATCTGTGCGTCCGCCGGCTGGAATCTGAAGAGTTTATACGGAGGCCTCCGCTGGGCTCAGTCATGTGCGCGGTCCAGATGGTCTCAGGAACACCTCGCTCTCTCAAGGCGGCGTCCTCGACGACGGCTCCCACTGTGGGAAGGATGGACAGAACATCCGTTTCAAGGACAAGGGAGCCCGCGAGGAGTCTCTGATTGCCTGGGGCCAGCTCACAGGTCAACCAGCGGTCACCTTCTTTTGATGACCTCCTCCAGCCAATGGGTTCTCGGTTAAGATGATGCTATAACACCTCCTTTCAAGGTGTATTTATTTACGTGAAAAAGATAAGTGAGTGCATTTGAAAGAAAGTCTTATCCGAGGTTGGATCCCAAGGATGTGTGTACATTTCCTGAAGGCGGCGTTTGGAGGATTGCTTCTGGGGAAATAATAGCTCTTCCACTTAATCTGACTTCTGGTGACTTCTCTGAGTCTGTTTTCTCGTCTATCAAATGGGAATGATCATCCTGCTTTCCAGGACTCTCGTGATGATTAATAATAATACTAATGAATTGCAACTATCATTTATTGAGCCTTTTCTGCCTGTCACACCTGGAGCTCTAACGCAAGCTTCCTGACTTCAAAAGCCAGGAGCTGAACAAAGATGACGTCTTGGATAAAATGGGGTCAACGGGTGGTAACTGTTATCATGGCCACCATCATCATTTTTAAAGTGGCGGGACTTTTCATTAGCCACAGGACCTCTCTGAGTCTCAGTTTTGTCGTCGGTAAGATGGGAGTGATTTGTAAAATGGAGGCAATGAAATAACGTTCTTGTGACGGTCGGTGCTAAGTGGCACACAGGAGGACCTCAGTGAGCAGTGGCTATTTATGGTCCCCAGTGACCTGGGGCCAGAGCTCCTCGTCCTCGTGTCAAAGTCCCAGATAAAGGCTTTGTCCAAATTTCTGATTTTGCCATAAACCAGGTAGATTCTGCATGAAGGATGGGACCCTCGCGATCTCTTCCCGATAGATTAGGAAATCTCTCGGCAGGTGTGGTTCTTGTTTCAGAGAAGGAAATGCATTTACAGGAAGATAACAGAGGGGAGAAAATTATTTAAGGATGGCACTATTTGTTTTCATACAAGTTATTTACTTTTTATTTGAATTATAAAATTGGTGCACAACCACCGTAGAAAATGTGGAAAATCCAAAACCCCCCAGACCCAGCTGTGATTGTTCAGATTTGGGTGTATTTCCTTTTTTACTGTTTTTGACAGCGTTTAGAATAATTTACACGGTTGACAGGATACTGTGGTGTGGTTTCCAGTTTGCTTTTCATTTAACTTTCGACTGCAAGCGTCATCCATATTGCACAAAGTCTTCGTTGCTGATCTTAAATGGGCTTGTAATCGTCCGTGGACTGGCTCCCCACTGCTTCTTCAGCCTCATCTGTTTCCTCTCCTCTTCCCCTGATGTTTTAGCCACGCTTGTCTTCTTGGCATCTCTCGAACACACCGTGCTCATTTCTGCCACAGGACCTTTGCACTGCCTCCTCCTTCTACCGCTAAAGCTCTTCCTTGGTTCTTTATGTGGCCAGCTCCTTCTCACCTTTCATAACCCGGTTCCAACAACATCATGGCCTCAGACAGAGCCCTCTCTGACCACCGTAGATCCCTAGCAACTCCCTCGGTTGCTCTTGATCTCATCACCCGGTTCGATTTTCTCCTTAGAGGAGGGGTCTCCTTATCGCCTGAGAGTCTTATTTATCTATTTGTTTACTTGTTTATTGTCTCAGTCCCTCAATAGACTGTAAGGTCCTTGAGGACAGACACCCTGTCTGTCTTGCTCACCCCAGATTCCCCAGCGGCTAACACAGTGCCTGTCACATAGCAGGAGCTCAGTAACTCTGTACTGAAGAAGTGGATGGGGGGTTAGATGGTTGGACATGTGGCTGGGTGGGTAGCTGAATGGGTAGGTGGGCGGGTGGCAGCGGGTGGTGAATGGGTGGATGGAGAGAGAAACGGGTATGTGGGTGGATAAATCCTACTTTTACTAACCATTCCCCAATTCCACAATTAGCGTGTTCCCCATGATCATTTTGATTGCTTCCAAAAAGGGGACAATGCAAATGGCAGGGAATAGGAATAAACGTGTCTGCTCCAGAAAGCTGAGCCCTGCCTTGGGGCCGTCACCCGGGGGTCATCCCCCAGGGCCCAGGCCCGGGCCCGGGCAGTTGTTCAGGCTCCTGCCGAGGTTGGGAGGTGGAGAGATTCTCTGAGGTCCCCTTGGAGGCCCACCTGGCCCATCCCCGGGACCTCACCACCGGCGTCTGCTTTGTCCCTGTGCAGTGGGCCGGAAGCAGTTCATGAGGTTCGAGTGGGCGAACCGTGCAGCCGAGGCCCTGGGCTGTGAGTACGAGGAGCTGAACACGGCCACCTTCAAGCACCACCTGCGACACATCATCGAGCAGGTGACGAGTGGGCCGAACCGGCGGGGCCTTGAGGACGAGGAGACCAGCTCAGGTACCACGCTGCTACCTCCCCGGGTGGGCCGGGTCCCCGCTGGGCCAGCCCCTGGGGCACTCCAGCGTTCTCTCACCTGTCCGTCAGGGATGTATCAAGGCTCTACCATAAGTGGACATTGTCAGTGCGAGGGAGGCCACTGCTGGTGGGACTGGCCATGGGCCCACCTGCACAGGGGCTCATGGTCCGTCCAGCGATTGCAAAGGCTGCTGAAACCTGGCGGGGGGCACTGTGCTGCCAAGAGGGGACATTGTCGGCAGCCCCCAGGGGTCAACACTTTCCCATATGCTGGGCCCCTGCTCTGTAGGGAGAAGACTAGCCTTCCAGTGTGAGGAACAGAAATAGGGGCAGGATGGCCGGAGCGGCTAGGAGGGCAGTAGGAGATGAGGTTGGAGAGCGAGGTGGGGTCAGTTCATGGAGTAGTCTGTCAACTGGAGTTTTTAGGCTCACACCGATGAGAAGCCATGGAGGGGTGTAAGCAGGGGAATGGCATGACTTGACTTGTTCTTTCTGAAGCTCAGCCTGGAGGAAGATTGCAGAATGAGTGGGAGAGGGAGAGCCATTAGGAACCTAACCAAGTCACCCTGGTCAGAGGGGTGGTGGGTGGACAAGGGAAGTGGTGGAAGAGACGGGGCGAGGTGGACACATTCAAGGTCTGGTTTACAATCACAGAGGATGGCGTGGGTCCTGGGGGAAGCGAGGGACCAGGTGGGCTTCCAGGATTTCAGCCTGGGCAGCAGAGGAATGCGGATGCTTTGAACTGACGTGGGGAAGGCAGGAGGAGTTGGAGCCGCACCTCCTGGGGTCTGCTGGGCCCCATGTCTGCAGCCGCTGCCGGCCAGATGCTTGGCTGCACAAGGCGGGGCAGGGGCGTCTTGTGAGCCTGGGGGTCTCCAAGTGCACTCTAAGGGGAGCTCTCCCGGAGACCACAGCCTGGGGGTAGTGGGCGGGACTGTGGTGAGTTCTGGTTTTGGGGCAAAGCTCTTAGAGGCCCCTTGGGTCCTTGGAGCTGCTCCATATTCCAGAGACTTTGGCTTGATGGCTGATGTCACTGGCCTTTTGTGTCCTTCCTTCCAGCTCTAGATGTAGCTGTCCTCTGACACACACACACACACACATGTGTGCATATACAGGGACACACATGTGCACAACCACGCACACAGCATGCTCATGTGCACAGACACACAACACACACACACACATACATATAATTGCACAGACACACACCACACACTTGCACACTTGTGCACAGACCTATACAGGCACACACAAAAGGACACAGACATGCACACACAGGCACCTACGTGCACGCACATTCACACACACGAACACCAAACACGTGGCCATGGATACACACCACACATGCACAGACGCGTGCATACACCACACACATTCGCAAACACGTTCAAGACACATACCACCTCCATGGACACAGACACTCTCCCCCCAGGCAAATGTGCACAGCCACCACACACACACAAGCACAGACACGAGCACACACTGCTTTGTGAGGCCGAGTCAACCTCTCAGGCCAAGGTCTCCGGGGTGGAGGTTAAGCAGGCAGGGGACCAGCGGGTTCAGGAGATGCTGGGAGGCTGTGGGTTGCCTAGCAACGGCCCAGGGTGGGGGTGGAGTTAGAAGAGGGGTGGGGAGTGCTTTGGGGCGGCAGCAGGCTGCCTGCAATGTACCAGCACAACGATTTCTCCAGGCGCCAGTGCGGGCAGATTTGGAAGCTGTTTTCAATTCTGGGGACGGAACCAAAACCTAAGGGTCAGGATTTGTGATCTGGTCTCCTGGCTCCTCACCTGACTTCGTTCAATGCACCCTAATCAAGGCAGGCTGTTTCAGGGGGACCAGCGAGCGTGTGTGTTTAAACAAAATTGAGCCCACAACTATAATAATAGTTTGCGAAGGTTTTCATCCCTCCCACCATTACAGGGGGGGAGCTTTGCCATCTCAGTCGGTGTTCTTCTCTACCTGACTTTCCGCGTGCCTTTGCACGGAGCACTGCAAATTAGCTAACCCATTTGCTATTGTTGGATATTCAAGTTGTCTCGAAAAAGCGATTTTCGCCAATTTAAGCAACAATCGGGAGAACATATGTCCCCAGAAATCTTTGTTCCTCTGAATATTTTATTAGAATAAAAGCCAAGGGCAAAGTTATTAAGTCTAAGTATATGAACCTTTGATGGCTTTCGATAGAAAATTGCCAAATGTCCCTCCCAAAAGAGGGAACAACCAACATTTGCTGAGGACCTGCTACCTGTCACGCTCTGGGGGTTTGAAAGCCAGAAACCCAGAAACCGTCCCCATCCCCAGGGCGCTCCCAGCCGGGTGGGGAGACACAGTCAATTAGTAACCAGGAGAGATGTGCTGTGGTCAGTGCTGTGAAAACAGAGTCGATCTGTCCTTCCATGTCTGGCTTTTTTCGCTCAGCATAATGTCCGCCAAGCTCATCCACATTGTAGCAAATGGCAGGATTTCCTTCCTTTTTATGGCTGAGAAATAAACTACGGGATCCTGCTTCTGTTAGGAATTTACAGCAGTCAAGCTCACAGAAACAGAGAGGAGAATGGCGGTTACCAGGGGCTGGGGGCCGGGGAAACGGGAGAGACTGATCAAAGGCACACGGTTTCATTTATGCAAAATGAGCAAGTCCCAGAGAGCAGACGAGTCAGGAGGGGGATCCATCTCCCGTGCAGCAGGCCCTAGTTAACAAGCCCGTGCCGTGTACTCCCACACTTCTTAAGAGGGTCGATCTTTCATTCAACGTTCCAATCACAAATGTACACACACAAACAGGGAGAGAGGAAGCGTTTGGAGGTGATGGTTATCTCATGCCGTTGCTTATAGTGACGTATGCCGATCGTCAAACCCATCAGGATGTGTCTGCCACATAGGGAGGTACGGCTTTTTGTATGTCAATCACACCTCAATTAAAAAAAATTAATTAATTTTTTTGAAAAAGAAGCAGGGGGCTGGCCTGGTGGTGGAGTGGTTGAGTTCTCATGCTCTGCTTTGGCGGGATGGGGTTCACAGGTTCAGACCCTGGATGCGGACCTGAATAGTGCTCATTGGGTCATGCTGTGGCGGTGTCCCACATGTAAATGGAGATAGATTGGCACAGATGTTGGCTCAGGGAAATCTTCCTCAAGCATAAAAGAGGAAGATTGGCAACAGACGTTAGCTCAGGGTTAATCTTCCTCGCCAAAAAAAAAAAAAAAAGAAGCAAGGTAGAGCTGGGAATTGGCCTCATGGGGTAGTGGTCAAGGCAGGCTTCCCTAAGGAGGTGACACAGCTGGGCCCCATGGGGTGAGCAGGAGAGCATGTTGGAGAGAATCTACGGCCAGGTTACCCAGGATCCTCTAGGTCCTGATAAGACACTTGTTCTTGATCTTGAGAACATGAGGGAGTCATTTCAGCCGTGGGGGGATGTGTGTGAAGGAGGGCGGTTCTCTGAGGCAGGTAGGGATGCCTCTGGAGTGATGTCCCTGGCCCCAGGCGAGGGCCTGACCACAGGATGCTGACCCTTCCCCTTTTCCCGCCCAGGGCTCAAGATGACAGGCGTGGAGTGTGTGGAGGGGATGGCCTCGGGCCTGTACCAGGAGCTCTTTGCTGTCGTGGTCTCGCTTATCAACAGGTAACGGCTGCCTTTTCCCTCGGCACAAAGTCGGCCTCTTTGCAGATGGACGCAGGAGCCCAAGTACAGGGCAGGGTTTTGAGCTAGAGAGTGGGTTTTCAAACCAGATGGCGTGGGGTTTAAATTCGCCTTGGCCACCCAAGGCGATCACCTCGCCTCCCCAGCCTCCCCTTCCTCTGGGGAGCAGGACGCGTAATCGGGCTCCAGCATCCTTTTAAAGGGATGAGGCCAGGACGTGGCAACGGAGCAGCCAGGTTCTCCAGGGTCGCTGCGGATGCAGAATCAACTCGCTCTGGCGCTGATGGAGCAGGGACCATCCGAGAGAACAGACACGTTATCTAGAAACCACGGGGGTCCCTGTGGGCGGAGGCAGGGGTGCTGGAGGTGGGAGTGCACTGCTGGCGGCGAGGCCGTCAGCCCACGGGGGCCGCTGCTGCGCGGTGTGGGTCCTGGGGCCAGCAGCCGTGGAACGAATGTGTTCCACCCCAGCTTTGACGTGCACCCAGGAGGCGTCTGGCTTCCTGGACGTTAGTGGACTTAATCTTCACCCGTGTCTGTGTGGGGCTAATCGTCTTGGCCCCATTTTATAGATGGGAACCCCTGGCAGGTAACGGAGAAGAGCTCCCGTTTGAACTCAGGGCCGTCGAAACCTGTAGTGGCTCCTGCTGCTGCTGATAATCACAGAGAGCGTTGCAGGCACTGACCATGTGGCCGGTCTGTGTTCAGAGCGTGGATGCTTTGTCGCATCCGACCCTTTCCACAGTCTTTGAGCTGGCTCCATCCTTAACCTTTTCACAGCTGAGGCTCAGAGAAGTCAGGCAACTATCTCGAGACACACAGCCCCTCTGTGGCAGAGTGAGAGTTGGAGCCCACACGGGGCTGTCCCTTAACTCCTGCATTTGGATGTCACCAATCTCTGCTCTGGCCACACCAACCGTCATCAGAGGATCCCAGGAGGTGACAGCTTGAAAGAACTTTGTAAACTGAGGCACTGAACAAGATTGTTTTTCTATCGTATGCATTACCAAGAGAGAAAAGGAGGCTCTAGTCCTAACTTTATAACTGATTTGCTGTATGGCCATAAGCAAGTCATTTCTCCACTCTAGGCCCGGTGCAGAGAGATTTCCTGAAGGCCTGCTGTGCCCACGGGAGGCCGTTTCCATACTTCAACTCCTCCCATTCTTGTTGCAGCCCCTGGGTCACCCTACTCATCCCTACCATCATTTAACAGTTGGGGAAAGCCATGCTCAGAGAGGTTAAGTAACTTGCCCAAAGTCACACAGCCTGTGAGTGGTGAGCCTGATTTGGAGACTTGATCCGCTGGATCCCCAAATCCGCCCAGCCTGCTTCTCCATCGCTGTGATGGGCGAGTGGGGGGCCGAGACAGGCGGGGCTCTAAGATTCCATCTCGTCTCTCTCCCCAGGTCCCTCTCCTCCCACCACCTCTCCATGGCCTCCATCACGGTGGTGGACCCTCCCGGCTTTCAAAACCCCCGGCACCAGGGCAAGGAGCGGGCGGCCACCTTCGAGGAGCTGTGCCACAACTACGCCCACGAGCGCCTGCAGCTGCTCCTCCACCGGCTGACCTTTGTCTCGGCGCTGGAGCGACACCGGGAGGTCCGGCCGGGCGGGGCGGGGCCTCCCTGGGGCTCACAGCGGGCGGGAGGCAGACGTGGGGACGGCGGGGCCGGTCCTCCCATAACCGTTGGCTTCCTCCTGTTGGGCTCACAGCGAACGAAACCTTAGCTCCAGGCCTGGTCCCCCCAGGCCCTCTGTGCCCCATCTTCCTGGGACGCCCAGCCCCCACCCATGGCCCCTGCGCCCTACGGTCCAGAGACGCCAGGGACGTGGGGCTCCCCAGGCCTTGCTCCCACAGCCGTCCCTTCTTTGGGGCGACCTGTCCCTTGTCGCCGCTTCCCCCAGCTGAAGCCTCCTCCAGCCGTAAGCCTGCATCTTCCCCAGCGTGGGAAGCGCTTCACGCTCCGTTGTGGGGTGAAGACCGCAGGTTTGCACGCCTTTGGGGTCAGAACGTGGCTAAAAAGTCACAGATGCAGTTCTGCTTCTGGGAACTCTGTGTTTCTCTGGGAAACATGGACACATGCCTGCCAGCCTTTCTTTTCTCATTAAAAATCAAGTTTAAATTGAAATATAACATTTACACAGGAAAGGGCATAAGTCAGATGTGTACAGCTCGGTGAATTTACCCAGACAAACACACCCGTGCATCTACCATCCAGGTAAAAGGTAGAACATTGCTAATGCCCCCAGATGCCTCCATATCTACTTTCTCCCTCCTCCCTGAGTGGGGACCTCTTGACTCCAGCAAGTGCTAATAGCAAAATATTAGAAATGACCATGCTGACCATGCTCATCAGTAGGATAATGGGTACTGAAGTTATGGTCATTTCTTTGTTTGCAGCCTGCACAGCAATCAACACATGGGCATCCACATGGATATTTCTCAAACAAATGACCTTGATGAGACCTGGGGTCTGACCCTAACTCTGTCAGTTATGGGCTGTGTGGCCTTAGGAAAGTCACTCACCCTCTCTGAGCCTAGATTTCTTCACATGTGAAACAGAAATAGCTATACTCCTGTATCAGTTACGTTTGCCTCAACAATGCTGCATAAGAAATGACCCCAAAACATAGTGGTTTAAAAAATAACATTCTCTTATTGCTCACAAGTCTCTGGGTGGCCTGGGTAGCTCTCTGGTCCTGGCTGGGAGAGCTCCCGTGCCTGTGCTCAGATGCTGGTCAGGTAGGTGGCTCTGATGGTCTGGGCTGGACCCTCATGTGTCTGGGGTCAGGTGGCCACGATCTGGTCCAGGCGGGCCTCAGCTGGGACACCGCGTCTGTGTTCCGGGGCCATTCTCTCCTCCGGCAGGCCAGGCCAGGCTGTTCTCTCGGCGCTGGGCAGGGTTCCAAGAGAGTGGGCAGAAGCGTGCGGGCCCCTTGACATCCAGACTCGGTACTGGCAGCGTCACTTCTGCTGTATTCGATCGGTGACAGCAAGTCCAGGGCCGGGCCCTGACTCAGGGTGGGAAATAGGTTCCGCTTCTTGGCGGGAGAGGCTGCAGCATCTCTGTGCAAAGAGTGTGGATCCAGGGACGGGGAGGGGGGGTTACGTTTATAATCATTTTCACCCACTGCCGGCGGGGCTGTCTGAGCGTTTAATGCAGCAGAATAGAAAGCACCTGTGTTAGGCATTTAATGTTTGGGAGCAGCTACCATATTTTTTCCCAAAATATCTCACTTATTTCTGATCATCAAAGTAATACCTGTTCTTTATTAAAAGTTCTGGAAAGTGTCCATCAGTGTCAAGAAGCAGAAAACACCATCTCCTTTCGCCTCACCATCGAGAGGCCACCCCTGTCCCTGCTCTCTGATTTTATATGAGTCGTTTTTCCAGACATTGTCTCCCCTGCAGATTTCTGATCCTTCCGTCCCCCCGGTTTGGTTGCCTGCTGTTCCCCTCGCAGCATCCTGCCCATCACATTTTCTCCCTCCACTTAGACAGCTCTTCATAAACGTGCGTTTCAGTGCTTGTGTCCGATTCGATCTTGTCTCTCCTTTGGCCATCTGGGCGATTTCCACGGTTAAGCCATTATAATCAACACTGTGATGAACATCTTTGTGCGGAGTGTTGTCTGGACATTTCTTGTTGCTTTTCTATGGCATCTGTTCTCATCTATAGTTTGTGCCGGCTCCCACAGCACTCAGCACTTGGCCCAGCACACAATAAATGTTAGAAAGGTTTGGACTGAATTCTCGGTTCCTGGTAAAGCTCTGACTCTGGTTGCCGACAGCCTCGCAGGATGAACACTGTCAGGATTTATTGGAATGTTGGTGTACAGCCTTTCTTCTCTGACAGAGGCTAAGGGTGACGATAAAAACAAACAACCCGATTAAAGAATGGGCAAAGGACTTGAATGGGTATTGCCCCCCAAAAGATATACAAATGGCCAATAAGGACATGAAAAGATGCTCAACTTCACTGATCATTAGGGGGACGCAAATCAAAGCCACAGTGAAATCTTGCCTCACACCCATCGGAATGGTTATTATTAAAAAACCCCAAACGAGAAAATAACAAGTGTTGGTGGGGATGTGGAGAAACTGGGGCCTTTATGCACCACTGGTGGAAATGTAAACTGGTGCAGCCACAGTGGAAAACAGTATGTGTTTTCTCAGAGTTAAAAATAGAATTACCGTATGATGTAGCAATCCTGCTTCTTGGTGTATCCCCAAAAGAATTGACAGCAAGGTCTCGAAGAGATATGTGTTCACACATGTTCATTGCAGCATTAGTCACAATCACCGAAAGGTGGAAGCAACCCAAGTGTCCATCACAGATGAACGGAGAAACAAACATAGTCTATCCCACAGTGGAATATTATTCAGCCCTTAAAAAGGAAGGAAATTCTGAGACATGCTACAACACAGATGAACCTTGAAGACATGCCCAGTGAAATAAGCCAGTCACAAAGGGACAAATACTGTGTGATTTCGCTCATATGAGAACTTGGAGCAGTCAAATTCCTGGAGGCAGAAAGTAGAATGGTGGTCCGCAGTGGCTGGGGGATGGGGAATGGGGAGTCCTGGTTTAATGGGTACCAAGTTTCAGTTTGGGAAGATGGAAAAGTTCAGGAGGGGGATGGTGGTGATGGCTGCACAACGTGATGGATGTGCTTAATGCCACCGAACTGGACACTTAAACATGGTTAAAATGGTAAATTTTATGCTAAGTATATTTAGTGTAATTTTAAAAAATAATTTACGAAAAGCTGAGCAAGGATGAAAGTTCTCACATCTCTTTCCTCCTCCAGGAGTTTTCTACCCCGCTCAGCTCAGCAAGGAGCTAACGCTGATCTTCTCTGCCTTTCCAGGAAGGTGTCCCTGTGCAGTTTGACCTTCCGGAGCCGTCCCCGGGGACCACGGTGGCCGTGGTGGATCAGAGTCCCTCCCAGGTAACACGGGGCCCTGGGAACCCAGGCTCTCAGACACCAAGAAGGCTTTTTATAGAAATGCGGGCAGACTTGAGCCTTTAAGCTACTATTGACGCCGTCAGCACCTAGGATCACCCAGAGGTTTTTAAAGATGCTCCCAGATTCTGCACTGATTGCACTAGGTGTGGCCTGGGCGACGAATATTGAAATCCCTCCACTGAGAGCCCCTGCTCTGCTCCAGGTCCGAGTCTGCGTCTGAGAACGCACTCACGCCAGGAGCCTGGGGCCTGAGCCGAGGGGCATCCACGGCCCGGCCTAGCGGCCACCAGTTGCTCTTGCCGGGAAAGGTCAGGTGTCCCTAGGGGATGGAGAAAGGGGGCAGTGTTGGGTCCAGGCCCCCGACCTCCCGTGGAGGCAGGCAGGTGCTAGTCTGGGGGTTACCTGAGTCTTTACCCATTTTCTCCATCCCAAGAATGCACTGTGCTGACCCCCGACCTGCAGCTCGGCTCACCCCTCTCCCAGAACAGCCCCGGGCCATTTCACTCCACTCGCCAGGCTCCCATCCAGTCTTGGGGACTTTGGGTATGTCACTCCGCCTCTCCGAGCCTCAGTTTTCTCCTTTCCAAAATGGGACCGATCGTAGCCCCCGGGGTTGCCGTGAATGTCCACGAGATCTGGCACAGAGAGCGCCGGGCGCGTGCTGCAGGTGGCCTTGCTCCTGCATTCGACGCACAGGCTGCCTTTTCCTTGTCCCTCGTCTCCTGTCGGCTGGGCTGCGTTCCAGCCTTGGCTCACGGCGGGCTGCACCTGTGCCCGCAGAGCCCCCTCGTCCTCGAGCCCCGCTGACCGTTACCTGCTCCTTCTCCTGTTGTCACCTCTCGGGGGGTTCCGCCTCCCTGGAAGGGACGGCCCAGGCAGCGGGAAGAAGGAAGGGCCCTGGTGTCCCCAGGACGCCTGCGCAGGGGCTGGGGACGGCTGCCTTCTGAGGGCGGGCTGGCTGTTGATTTCAACCCCAGTAAAGAGGGCCAAGGTGGAAGGCTCAGGGTACGGGGTCCAGTTCCGGTTCTGCCCCTGTGCCTCTCCTGGGACCCTGGACGTGTCCTTCTCTTCTCTGGGACTCTGAGTGGGGTGGAGCAATGTTTCTGAGCTAGGGGACCAGCTGTCCTGGTTTGCCTGGCACTTGCTGCTTTTAGCATGGAAATCCTCACGTCCTGGGAAGCCCCTGGTCCCATGCGCCCTGGGACGCACCTCATTTCCTCCAGGGCCACTCAGCGCCTTTTTGGGTTGTTCAAGGGCCACCTCACTGTGGGCCCTTGAATAAGCCCTTCAGACTCTCCAGGCCCTTCTCTGCTTTCCAGCCGCAGAGCGACAGGTTTCCTCAGTGGTCCCTGACTGTTTGAAACCCAGCTTGTGGCTAGATTTAAAATTCCGTGCCTGCGCTGTTGAGCCAAGCTCACCTTCTCCTCTAAAATGTTCTTTGGGCACTTTTTTTTCCTCTCAAGATTTTAGTTTAAAAAATAAAGACTTCTAAGAGGAAACGCAGATAGAATGAATCCTTTTGTGTTTGGCTGTGCACAGATATACCCTGCAGCCTGTGTGTATCTAGAAACGTGTAATTTACAGAGTGCTTCCTCTTGATAAATCCTCGCTATGGTCCTCTGAGGAAGGTGTGCCCAGCCTCCCTTTTGCATAGGAGGACATGAGGCCCAGAGAGGTGCAGTAAGTTACCCAAGGTCACACAGGAAGTGAGGACAGAGGCAGGATTTGGACCTCTTGTAACTGAGAGGTTGTTAGTTTTGTGGTTTCGACACTGAGAATCTGGGGGCGAGCAGGAATGTGGATCGGGGCTGCCACATCTGAGTCGTGACGCCTGGGACTCAGATTCCTGACTCCCACAGGTGGGAAGAGAAGCCGGGGACTGGCCTCCATCAGCGATCAGGGCTCCTTAACATGTCCTGGGTTTCCCGCCAGGTCCGCTTACCAGCTGGAGGAAGCACTGAGGATGCGGGGGGCCTTTTCTGGGTCCTGGATGAGGAGGTCCGGGTGGAGGGCTCGAGTGACAGCGTGGTGCTCGAGCGTCTCTGTGCTGCCTTCGAGAAGAAAGGAGCTGGGGCTGACGGTAAGGAAATAAGGTGGGGAAGGATGCTGAGTCCAGCCTGGGAGTTGGAATCTGTCCTTGTCAGTTGCAGAAAAATCCCTGACAAGGCCTGCACTGGAGGAGGGGAGGGTCTGAGTGCAGAAACGTCTGTGCGCGTACCTGTGTGCCTTTATTCATTTCTGCTATTCATTCGTGTATTCAACAAACGTACGGAGCAGCTACTGTGTGCTGGGTACGTTGCTGTGTGGTGGTGAACCAACCTGATGTGGCCCGAGTCCTCCAGGAGAGAGGATGGGGGATGAGGCCATGGAGAAACTAACAGATAAGCACATACGTGTCCAGTGAGCCTGAGATGACAGACTGTGGCGCTTGGCCGTGTGCATCAGGCAGACTTAGTTTCTCAGGGGACCAGGGGGCACTCGGTGGAGATGTACGTGGGTAAATCCAACAAAGAAGGGGGAACACGGTGCAGGACAAGATGGAGTTGTTGTCTGGGCTCAGGCTGCAGAGGCCTTTGCAAACTGTGCCGAAAACATTGGTCTTAATCCCAGAGCATTGAGAAGCCGTGGGTTCTAAGCAGCGGGAGACACGGCCAGATGCATGTTCTGGAAAGTTCACCCGGGCTGCAGTGTGGAGACACGGCAGGAAGGTGACCAGCGGGTTGAGGGAGGAGCTGGCCTGGCCCCGGGATGGTGGGCTGACTCGGGAGGGATTTAGGGGGTAGGATCCACGGCACGTGGTGATGGGTTGTGTTGGTGGGAGGGAGGAGGGGAGGGGAGATGGAGGCACGAGCTGGATCAAGATCAGAAGCCATGGGATCCGGCATGAGTCGGCCCCAAGTTCAAGTCCAACCGGCTGTACCTTCATCAACGTGACCCTGAGTGAACCTCGAAAAGTCTCAGGTGGTGTCCTTGAACAACGGGGGTGGGGACCCGCTTCACCGGAATTTGTGCTACGACGGTTGGGTGAGAGGATGTACGTGGGGGGCTCCGCTATTGGCTGCCAAGTGTTGGTGATGAGGTGAGGCTGCTGATGGCGAAGAGGAATATTATCCTTGTCAATTGAGGAGGTGGAGGGACACTGTCTGTACTCCATGCAGGGCCCCGTGCACAGAGCTTTGTGTATATCGTCCAGACGAATTCTGTCACACATTCGGAGGTCGATATTCTTACCCCCCAAGAGGAGGAAACGGAGCTCCAGAGAGATGCTTCTAGATGTGCTTGTCCAAGATCACTCTGAGGGGGAGTGTCAGTGTCAGTGTCAGATTCACAACACGCTGGGTCTGGATCTAAACCTCTTGTGATCCCCACCCCAGCGGGTGCCCTCAGGCATTTATGAAGGCAGATACACCGAGATCTTACGCTTGGTGGTCAGGTCCTGGGCCCATTCATTCATCGGTTCATTCGACAAATATTTATGGACCACCTAATATGGAGCCGCCACTGTCGTAGGCAGGGAGATACGTCCCGGAACAAAACAAATATCTCCCCCCAACCCGGGGAACTGATGTCCTGGCAGGGGAGATGGATGATAAGACAAGTGGATCTGGAAGAAGGAGATTGAGGACCACGATTCTGGTTGAGGTCGCTATTGAGGGTCGGCAGAGAAGATGGGCAAGGACTCAGCCCCGGGACATTCCAGTGTCAAGGGGTCAAGGACAAGGCGAGTGACCAGCAAAGGAGACTAAGGAGGAGCGGCCAGGGAGGGAGGAGGGACGCCGGGGGTGTGTGGCATCCTGGACGCCGTAGGAGGAGGGAGGGACCAAGTGATTTCAGTGCTGCCGTGGGGTCAGGTGAGGCGTGGCTGAAGAATGGTCGTTGATGTGGCTGCGTGGAGGTCACTGGAGATCAAGACAGGTGCAATTTCAGTGGCGCATCCGGGTGAACGTGTGACTGGAGTGGTTTATAAAAATTAGGAGAAAAGTTGGAGAAAGACATATGACAGCTCAGTGCTGCTGTCCACCGGGCTGGCGATGGCAGCGTCCTCCACCCTGGGGAGGGACCCACCGAGTCCTCTGTCTGGGACATTCAAGGAGCGTTCCTGTGCTCGAATCGGGACGAGATTTTCTAAGCAACAGCATCATCTGCTGGTTCCAGCAGCTCTCCTTGGACCCAGCTCAGAGCTCTGCTGCCCGGATTACTCCCAGAGAGCTTGGCTGTGCGAGCGACTGGCCCGGGGCCAGCCTCTCTGCCGGGCACAGGAGGGGCAGGGTTTGGGGCTCCCCGTGCTGTTAGGGGCCCATAAAAATATTTTCATTTCTGTTCAAAGCAGGACAAAAAATGAACTTTGAGGTCAAATACAGTGTTTTCATATATATATATATATATATATATATATATATATATATATATATATGTTATGGGCCAAATTGTATGCCCCCCCCAATTTCTATGTTGACATCCTGACCCCCAGTACTTCAGAATGTCACTGCATTCGAAGACAGGGTCTTTAAAGAGGTCATAAGGTTAGCTGAGGTCCTTGGGGTGGGTCCTAATTTAATGTGACTGCTGTCTATATAAGAAGAGGTTAGGACACGGACATGCACAGAGGAAAGACACAGGGAGACGGCAGCCGTCTGCAAGCTAAGGAGCGAGGCCTGGGAATGAAACCAACCCTGGGACACCCCGATCTTGGACTTCCAGCCTCCAGAGCTGTGAGAGAATAAATTTCTGTTGTTTAAACCCTCAAGGTAGTTTGTTATGGGTGCAAACTAAGACGAAGTCTTTATGTATGATTAATATGAATCTGTTTTTATATCAACAGTCATGAAATGTAATTTTTAATATTTTTTTTTATGGAGGAAGGGACCCATGAATGCAAGTGTCTAGGGCCCAGGAAAGTCATAATGCAGCCTGGGCGTCCCTCACCCCCAAGGGTCCTGGGGCTCATCTGGACTCTGGCAACGATACTTCTGTCCTCTGAAGGTCGCCTCTGTTCTCTGCAGTATGTCTGCCCCTTTACCAGCCGGTGAATGAAGATAGAGGAGCTCTTAGCCCAAGCCAGGCATTGTGGGCTCCACTTCCCCTCTACAGTGGGGTCACTGAGGCCTCGGAGTGGCCAACGACAGATCAGGGCCCTGTAGGCACCGAGAACAGAGGGGACGGTGGCCCTGGGAGGCCTCCCTCCAAAGGCCAGGCAGACCCCCGGCCCCTCTCCAGGCTGTGAGAGGGGCCCCCTCCTCAGGGAATGATACCAGGGCCCAGCAAGGGAGGGATTTTGGGGGGTGGTGATGGAAGAGGGAGCTCACCCAGATCCACAGGAAGCCGAGCCCTGACAAGCCCAGGCCTCAGACCCCAGAGACCTGCCTGGGATCCCTCCTCCATGGCTGCGCTGTGATGTGTGTGACTTCTGGGAAGCCGCGGCCTCTGTCTGTAGAATGGCCACACCCACCTCCGGGACTCGTGCGAGAACAGAAGAGCTAATGGGTGCCAAGAAGCCTTAGCACATCCTCCTCAGGCAGAGTGATTGTCCATTGCTCCCCCTCAGAGCCCTTCCTGACCCCTGTCTGCAGCTGTCCCCCCACAGCTCCCTGGTCTGTCCTTCAAGGCTCTTTCTGGGCTCTGGAATGTTCCCTTATCTCTGTGCCTTACTTGCTCCGGTTCCCCGATGACCCTGTAGCCCCCGAGGGTGCAGAGCGTACCTGCTGTTGTCCCCTGCTGTCTCCCGGGGCCTGGGACACGGCACGGCCTCTGTGGGTATCTGCCACTTGCCCCGCCCTGCTCCTCCCTTGCTCCGTTCCAACCACACAGCTCTCTTTGGTGCCCCTCGAACACCCCAAGCACGCTCCCACCTCAGGGCCCTCGCACTGGCAGTTCCTTCTGCCTGGGACGCTCTTCCGCCACGTTTTAGCACCACTCACTCCCTCGCCTCCTGGGGGGCCTGCCGACCACCTTGCGTAAAAGAATAAACCGCCCCCTCCGTCCCCCCGCCTGTCTCCCTTCCCCACTCGCTTTCTCTTCCCCGCTGCAGCCACCCCCTCGGACGTCACGCCTTCGCCCTCACGGGAAGGTGGGCTCCGTGACGGCGGGGGCTGCCTGGTCCCCTCTGTGTCCGCAGCCCCCGGCACGATGAGGGGTGCAGCGCATGCCTGATGCAGCATAGACGGATATGGGAAAACCCAGTGACCCAGAATTGCATGAACGCACATCTCAGAGGGAATGCGTCTGGATCCTGACTTTTAGGCAAAAGAGACAAAGAGCGGAGGCAGAGGCAGAAGGCGTCTTGCGGGGTGTAGCTGGGGCAGGAGGGGGTTCGGGTAGATTTGGGGCCCCCTCTTCTTTTCCTGTGAGGTGCTCGCCCCAGACACCCGGAGCTCGGAGGCTCTCCGTCCCCAGCGGAGAGATGCTAGTATATCTCTTTTGCTGCTGACGGAGACACACACATTAACTCAGACATTCTGGGTAAAAAATAAAAAGGCGTTTTGCCTCTAGGGTTTTCTGATGAGCTCTGAGTTAATGAGGACGTTCCATCAAGCAGAGCGCATGGGGTTTCTGGGTAACCCAGCACTGACTGTCCCCTGGCACCTAAGGTGCGTTTGCTGGGCGGCGGGCCGAGCAGGGGGCTGGGGCCGCCCTCACGGAGCCCAGGCCCAGTGGACGGTCAGGTGGCAGGCATTCGCAACGCAGCCGTGGCGGGTGAATGTCCGGGGCAGAGGGGCGTGGAGGAGCCCCAGTCTGGGGGTCAGGCTCCTGGGGGAGGTGATGGCGCTGAGGCCACAAGAGAGATGTTGGGTGAGGCTCCGTCTTACAGACGTTCCCGGGAGCTCCTGACGGCAAAAGCAGCCTGTGAAGTGCTTGGATGAACAAAATGGGTGTGAAACCCCCTCCAGGAGGAAGGAGGGAGGAGGGGGTGGGGAGGCCTGCGTCCCGGGGACTCTTTCCCAGGACGGTTCCTGGGAAACGTGGCATCTCCGTGTACTGGGCCACCACCCTGGAGGGGACAGGCTTTGGGGCCGGCAGACCTGTGTCCTCATCCTGGCTCTGCCCCAATGTGCTGTGCAACTTTAACCAAGCCATCTCATGTCTCTGAACCTCAGTGTCACTTTCTGGAAACCAGCCTGGTGACGCTCATGCCACGGACCAGAGCGAGGACTGAATGACATCATGCGTGTCCGGCAGAGGCTGGTGGGGGCTCAGCAAACACGAACGCCCTTTCCTCTCTCTGTCCTTGGTCCCCCTCCAATGCTGTAGGGGTCCTCATTCAATTCAGAGCCCAGCCCTGTGCTAGCTGCTGGACACAACGATGAGGGGACACAGCCCCTGCCCTCAAGCTGCTTCCAGTCCAGCACGGGGAGGCAGCCCCGAGACGGAAGCCTGCAGCGTTGTCCGGGCAACGTGGACGTGGGTGCCAGAGCCTAGCACGCGCTTTGTCACCGTGCTCCCTGTGGGGTGCTTTCTCTCCCGTCGGAAGGGGTCTCCTTGAGGGCAGGGGCTGTACGGCTGTGACGTGCTCCTGGCAGGCTTCTGATGCAACGACCCTTCACTCAACTAGAAGTGCTCCTTGCTGGTGACTTCAGTTATCCAGAACACAGAGGCCATCCCGGAAGTGAGCACAAGGACCCCCCAACCAGCCAATCATGCAGCAGAACCCACGCCCTTTCTCACAGGAGGCCTGCAGGCTCTCAGACTGCGTTTCTTTTGTATGGAATTCCAAGAAATGCTGGTGCCTCGTTTCCTAGTGCCCTGCAGTGTAGAGGGAGCAAATCAGGACTTGGGGGAGGGGCTCGAGACCCCAGTCCGCGCAGGTGCGTTGATAATAGCGGGCTTGGAAAGCATGGAAAGATCCTTCAGAATAGATGCAAGAACTGAATCAATGCTGGCGCTCCTGATAATAATTGGTCAGCGGCCACTGCTCTACTGGGAGCATCACTGCAATTAGAGGATTATAATACATACTCAACAATTCATTCATTCGTTTGTTCATTCATTCATTCCATAAGCCCTTCTGGATGCCATTCGTGAGTCAGGCATGATGCTGAACACTGAGAATGTGGAGATAAGCCCTTTGCGACTCTAGAACACCAGCAGAAGGTTAAATGCAGGCAAAGGAGTGATGCCCACTATGGCTCTTTGAGTGACGGCTATGTGCCAGGCCCTGCGCTAAAATATTTCACACACGTTCTCCCCTTCAGCCTTATGTCGCCCTGGGAGGGATGCATTATTGAATCCACGTTTTACAGAGGGGGAGACTGAGGCTCAGAGATTTCAGTGGCTTTGCCCCTGTCACACCGCAATAGGTGATAGAGTCAGAATTTGAAACCAGGTCTTGTCTGACTCCTGGCGCATTTGTTTCTCCCGTTCCATCCTGTGCAGCCAAGTGTCTGCCAGCAGCTCCCGAGAGTATCCTGTGCATTAATTTGGTTGATGGTATTCAAGATGATTTTAGGTGGCACATGAATAAATATTTTCAAAATATGTAATGATTATGTATTTACCTCCATGAATAATAGAAAATAAATCTAGGTGGCACACCAAACCTGCAATATATTTCTTCTTTTTAATGGATTTACTTGTAAAAGTATGTGTTGATTTAAAGAAAACATTAAGTCAATGACAGCCCAGGGGTTAGCTGGGTATGGCAATAATCGTGAAGATCGTCCGCCCTGGTGATGTTTGGGGAAGCAGGTATCCTGGACTCAAGAAAGCGCGGCGGAGTATGATCCACTCTGGAAATAATGCGCACAAACGCACAAAGCCAGGGAAATGTGGGTGCCCAGAGCCGGCAGCTTTAGCGGTCTAGAAACATATGAAAATGGACAAAGTGTGTTCTTGCTGATGCCACGCGATTGCAATGTCCCCACCGGGCCCCCGTGCTCATGTGCTGTGTCTGTTTTCAGGGATGTCGGCCCTTCGGACCTGTGAGCAGCCCCTCCAGTGTGAGATTTCCCACCAGCTGGGACGGGACCCCGTGCGCTATGACCTCACAGGCTGGCTCCACAGAGCCAAGCCCAACCTCTCAGCCCTGGGCGCCCCCCAGGTCCTGCAACAGTCCAATAGGTGAGTCCCCAGGGCTGGGGACGGGTCAGGGGCGTCTGAGATGCTGTGGTTCCCTCCCCACCGGGACTGTGCGGTCACAACCGCTCAGGGAGTGAGGGCCAGCCTGGGAGCCCCTCCCTAAGGACGCAAAGAACCGTAACTGGAGTCGGAGCGGTGCAGCGTCTCCCTGAGGCCAGCGTGAGTCCAGCCGAGGAGAGAAGCTGACCTTCCGGGGAAGGTGGAACAAAACCTCAAAAGCTGTGACTTCTTCTTTTGGCTTTTTGCCTTTCATTAAGTCTCTGAGAGATCATGTGACTGCAGCGACTTTTATGGACGTCCTAGAACTAAGGGGTCGTAAATCCGAAGTGATCACATTTTGGAGCATTAAAAAGAGCTCACTCCCTTCCCTAACTGCTCTTCTCAGAAGGGCTGGCTGAGGGCTGGCGGCAACGTTGCCTTCAGTTCCGAGTTATTGGGAAATGCCCGATGCGTGTGTGTGCACGGTGATCCTCCCAAATTCATTGCTGGAATCCCACAGGGGCAGAGCTTGGGGACAAGAACAGAATCAGAGGCCGCCAGGGAGGTGTTGGGGGAGTGAGACTGGGGAAGGAATGACATTTACCGACCGCCCACTGTGTACCCGGCATCCGGGGAAATGCTTTACGAGTATCTTATTAATCCTGACAACAGCGCTGTATCCTTAGCCCCATTTTATGGATGAGAAAACTGAGGCCCAGGAAGTGAAGTGGCTCGCCTTTGACCACACAGTAAAATTGGGGCAGAGCCGGGGTTCAGCTTGGGTCTACGTGGTCCTGGCAGAAGTTCTCAGGACGTTATGGTCAGAGTTGATTAGAAACCGTGTCCAGAGCGGCTGATGGGCACACAGCTCTGGAAGAGAGATCAAGTCAGGGGATGGGCACAAGGAAGGTTATCGAGTGCACAGAGGACTGCGTGGAGAGCCGGGGCCTGGGTCAAGTCCTAGCCCTGCCCTTGTCACCGGGTGCCTGCAAACAGTCCCTTTCCCTCCCCCGGGCTTTTTTCTTCCTCCACCGTAAAATAGGTGTTCCCAGGGCTGGGCTGTAAGACGCCGTGGCTCCTGCACAGCCTTCGAGTCAGGCAGGTGTTCACGTTCTGCTCGGCCCCTTTCAAGCTGCACGACCTGGGCCTCAGTTTCCTGATCTGCGAAGTGGGAGCAATGACACCAAGCTTACGCATTTGGTGTCACGCTTTGGTGACTCGACCTAGCGGATGGCTTACGAAGGAGCCTGGTTCACAGCAGGCCCGCATCACACGTGCCGGCCCCGTGAATCCCCCTCCTGCTCTCAAACCCTGCTGCTCAAGCTGAGGGAGGGGTGTGGGCCTAGGAAAGGGCCAGGCGATGCTTTATTGAGCAGGTGGCCTGCGAGTGAGTGAGGGGCTTTCTGGGAGGACGGAGCAGCTCGTGCAAAGTCTCGGCTCACGGGGGCGGGAGAGCATGGCAGGTCTGGGAGCGAAGCCTGTTAGGATGCCTTTCATGCTTGAGAGCCAAGCTGCGGTGATTTCTGAGAGCAAACCGTGCTGTTTCCTAGCCTGGGCTTCTGCACCCAGGAGCCCAGATTCTGCAGGACCGCTCATTAACATTCCGGTTCCTGGGCCCATCTGGTCTCTCTTGGGGAGGGTTTTGGGGACCGACCTTGCTGGGAAGGCGTCCCAGGAAGTTCTCATGCACACTCAAGTTTTGGTCAAGGACTTTTGCTTTACGTATAGGGAGCTGGGGCCCAAAGGGGACACGTGACTTGCCCAAGGTCACGCAGTCAATTGAAGACAGGTCTCCCAACCCCGCGATGGGGTGATCCACATGTGGGAGTCAGGGCTGTGGATGCGACCTCCCTGCCCTGTACCAGAGAACCCTGTCCTCTCCTCTCAGGGCTCCTGCTCCCAGGGGTCTCCTCCCGGCTCCTCCCTAGATTTTTATTTCAACGCGAGCGTATTCAAGCCGTTGTTCATCTGTGTGCTCTGCTGTGCATTTAACGACTTTATACGCCGTTGGCACGTTTGGGCACGACTCATTTTCTTGCACGTCTGGACAGTCAGCTTGGGCATAGAGGGTGATGGAGAACGTGTCTCCAGGGCTGGGGCCGGGGGTGCGGCCTGGCCTTGCGGGAGTGATGGACGATGCCTGCCTGCTTCCACCGGAGGCGATGGGGCAGTCGGGCCCCGCGTGGCACAGTAGGGTCTTCCCGGCCTTATTAGTCCTCTTTGCCCAAACAAGAGGGCAGGCCCGCTCAAGTCTATCAGAGCCTCGCCGACTAGTCTGAGAACCTGGACACTACAGGAGTGCCCTGGGACGACGCTGTCCACGCTTGGCATCAGGCCGGGCATTTCACGGATGGGTTGAGACCTGCCTGTGGGACCTGCAGTCCTTCATTCCTGCATGAGGCACGTAGTAGGCAGCTCTTACGTACTGGATCTGTTCTGGGGGTAACCGAGATGATTTTGCCCTCTGAGAAAGTGCAGGCTTAGGAGGTGTGTACCCAGTAGGAAGAAGGACGTTCTTAGGTCCGGGAGGGAGAGAGGCCTGAGGAAGGAGCTGGCTCTGGGCGGGAAGCAAAGGACCTGTGGATGAGCGGGAAGCAGCCAGGACGTGTGATGCGAGGGGAACGTTCAGTCAGCAGATCAGGCGGAAGCCAGGTGGACGCATTCCCCGGGAGCACCCTGAAGCCCCCCTCTCTTTCCCCTCCTGTCTGCCAGGGAGGAGCTGAGGAGGCTGTTCCAGGCCCGGGCCAAGCTGCCGCCTGTGTGCCGGGCCGTGGCAGGCCTGGAGGGCGCCTCCCCACAGGCGCTGCAGAGGAGCTGCGTCGTCAGGAGGACCTTTGCCAGCAGCTTCGCGGCCGTGAGGAGGAGAGCCCCGTGCTCGCAGATCAAGCTGCAGATGGTGAGTGGGGGCCCCGTCTCCGTGGCGCCCTGGCCTTCACCACCATGTGGCCCTCCCCGCTCCAGGATGGCTTAGCTCCCTGCATCCTCTCTGAGCTCCCCAGCGAGCCTGGAGGGGCGGGCCTCATCCCACGCTCCACAGTGGGGGAAACTAAGGCTCCGGGCAGCACAGAAACTTGGCCTCGTCACACTGCTGGGAGGCGATAGACCCGAGTCTGAGGCTTAAGCCTCGGCTGCTCGTTACTGACTTGAGTGGCTTCGGCAGGTCTCAGGAACCCCGGTGACAATGTCACAGCCAGACCAGCCCCGCCTGCCTTCCTCTCCTCTCAAATGCCTCCATTTTCACCACTGGGCTCTCCTGGGGGGAGGCAGCAGGATCCAGCACTGGACGTAAATACGTTACCCAGACACATTAATCTAATAACAAAGGAGGGCGCTTGGGTTGGTTGGCGCAGGCTGAGACCAGAAGGGTGAGACCTGGGAAGGTTACATTTTCCAAAACAACCTTATAGCATATTATACAAGAAAAGCCCTCAGACTAGATCCCGGGTTCCAGTCCACCCCTTGTGCTAGTGGTCTGTGTGACCCTGGGGCTATTTGTTTGCCCTTTCCGTGCCTCAGTTTCCCCATCTGTTACAAGGAATAATGGCCTCTTATTTCTCATGAGTACCAATCAGGCTGTAGATGTGAGGTCCTTGGTGGAGGACACAGGGGCCCCCAAAGATGCCCAGGCCAGGCTGAATGTTTGTTTGGGGAGTGTCCAGACCCCTGTCTGTCTCACCCCAAGACGGCTGGCCCTGACCCCCTCTCCTCTCTGTCCTAGGACGCGTTGACCAGCGTCATCAGACGGTCTCAGCTACACTTCATCCACTGCCTGCTCCCGGGTCCAGTGGTGGAGGGCAGGGGCGGGCAGGGGTCTTCGACGTCACTACAGCCTGGTGGAGACCAGCCCAGGGCTGGCGGGCCCCTGCCCTTGGACATCCCGGCCCTGAGGGTGCAGCTTGCAGGGTCCTGCATCCTGGAGGCGCTGCGTCTGCACAGGGCAGGTAAGAGGCAGCCGGGGAGCGAGCGCTTGGCTCCGACTCCTGGGATATGCCCGCCCGACAACGCAGCCACGGGACAAGAGCACCAGCCATGTGCCTGGAGCTTCCCATGCGGCATCCTATTGATGCTTCCCAGCAGCCCTGTGAGAGGGGAGCTAGGATTACCCCCATTTTATAGATGAAGAAACTGAAGCTCAGAGAGGGCAAAGGACTTCCTGAAGGGCACACCACTAGGATCTGGCAGAGCCTGGATCTGGACCTGCCTCTCTCGGCGTCCACAGCCCATCGTATTTCCTGAATTAGTATTGCACTCCTGGAAGGCTAGGGCTGTGTCTTACTCATCTTCCTTTCGTCTAAGGAGCGTCTAGCTTGGGATAGAGTGGCATCCCCACAATGAGTCATTTTTTGGTTGTCGAGATGCTCAGCCTGGTTTGGGAGATCCGTGTGGAAACAGGCGATGACAATACGATGTGCTGAGGGCCTGCAGCACGTGGGGATGCAAGAGGCACCTGGAGGCCTCGAGGAGGAAGCTCTGTGCTCTCGCTGGGGAGATTGGAAAAACCTCCTAGAGGGTGTAGCATCTTTGTCGGGTCTTGAAACAAAGCAAGCAGCTCACCTCTGGGGGCTGAGGGGAGAGGGGATGCTGGGCAGCGAGATCAGCTTCTACAGAGGCAGGAGGCATGGAAGAGCCTGGGTGTCCGGGGAACGGGGTTCAGAATGCGTACGGCAATTGTGGGAGAGGAGGCTGGGGGATGCAGCAGGAAGGCTGTGAGAGCCGCCTTTTGGAGTTTGGCTTCTGCAGGTCCAGCTGAGGAGATGATGGGGCGGTGAGGGGAGAGAAAAGTGTTTTCATTACAGGAGCGAAGCCTCTGTCTTGTATTTTAGAAAGCAAGCATGCACCGAGGTTTCCACCCTTCGCTCATCTTATGAACTGAGTTTGGTCTGAATCCTTCCCATATTTTCCTGCCTCTCAGACCCCGGAGGCCACCATGTGGATTCCCCTCCTGGCAATTAGAAACTACTCAGGCTCCTTCTCCGCAGAGGGTGGGGTGGCTGGGGCTGGGGGGCAGTCTAGGTGGGCACCTGGTGTTTAATGTCTCTGTGGTCACAGTCCCCATCTCCTCCCACCGCGTTCATAATGGAACCCTGGGCACGAGGTGCTTGCTGGAGAAGCTGGGAGCAGCCAGAAGCAAAGATGAGACCCTCACTCCTCTAAGGGTCTCATTGATTTTCTCTCCTGCCCGCACAACCACGGGCGGAAGGAGAGAGAGAGTCACAGGAGAACAGGATAGTCACAGCCAGCGGCTGATCGGTTCTGCCTGGCTGGCTGGCGGAAAGCGCCGGGCCTTTGCAGGTGTCTTGAAGCACCTGTGAGAACCCCTGCATGCATGCCCGGGTTGGCACGTCCCCTTCCTCGGGCCTCGTGTTCTCACTGCGGCGTCTGCCCTCCACGTTCTTGGCACGGCCCAACTTGGTCAGGACGAGTTTTCCAGCTAAGTAAAGGGTTGATGTCTCATAGTAGGTCTTTCCAATTTCGGCCTCCCAGTCCTGGCTCATTTCCTCATGTGTTTTTTGCTCTAAGTTGCTTCTGTCTGTCTCACACCCTGTAAGAAATATCTACACGCATCCATAGATACAAACACACATATAGATATTTATAATTCTGAATTTGTGCATCTGTGACGCGCAGATGCGTATGCACACATGCATACACGTGTATGCTACTTATTGAGCACTGTGTCATTGCTCGTGCTCCCTGACGTTGTTCTCACACAGCATGGCTCCCACTCTTAGCATGGTGCCTGGCGTAGCGAATGCTCATTAGATATTACGTATCGTACAGCCTGGCGCAGACCCTGGAGTGAGTCGGCCGGCCCTGACTCTGGCCGACAGCGGGCAGGGCCTTACATGGTGCCTCCTTCTCTTCCCTGACAACAGCTCAGATCTCAGAGAGCTGTTGAGCGGGTTGATGAGTTAATAAGGAAATGACACTTTGAAGAGTGCCTGGATGTAGGAACCCGCTCAATCCACGCCAGCCTCTCTTACTATCATCAGCATTGGATTTCAGCCTCATCACGACCTTGTGACAATAGATCTTATTATTCTCATCTGATGAGTGAAGAAATTGAGTCGCAAAGAGCTTGGGTCATTTGTCACCTGCCCTAATAAGGCTGACTCAAAAGGGCAGGCTTGAAACCTCCCGGCTCCCCTGTCTCTGTGCGGTCAGCATCCTGTGAACCTGGCCTGAGGCCCTCCTCCTCCCCCAGGAAGGCTTCCTGGATTTGTCACACGCACCCACAATCACTCTTCCTCATGGTTTATGTGTTTGTCTTATTGTGATGTGAAGGCTCCAAGATGAAGTGAGGTTTCACCAGACATTCTCTCATCCGGCCACTTGAGGGCTCTTTTTGAGGCAACCGAGGCTCTGCCGTGCCTCTTGTATCAGGACACAGTCTGAACCTTGAGGCTTGGAATTTGAGTCCGGGTTCCTTTGGGATCCAGTCCCTGGTCATCTTTGAGCTCATTATGGGCTCCTCTCCGCTGGGTGAGTTACTGTCCCTGACCGGGTTTGAGCCCCCACTGGGAGAGTAACTATCTGTGTGACTTGAACTCTTGGGGCCTCGATTTCCACATCTATGAAATGGGGACAATAATACAGGTCCCAGAGTGTCTACGACACGAGGAAGTCGTCATCCTAGCGTCTTGCACACGTCAGTGCTCAGTAGATGCTGGCCGTTGCTCTGACTGTGGAACAAATCTTAGATTTCTCCGCCCCAGCTCCGCCTGCCTAGACTTCTCTTCCACACCAACCCCGTGGCAAACTCTTACGGCTCCTTCAGAGGCCGGCTCTGGTGTCACTTCTCGGTAGCTTTCCACGTGCCTCTTCCTGGCTTCCCACACAGAAGGATGCAGCTGTGTCCACCCTGTGTGTTAGACTTCAAAGAACCCTTACATATTATCTGCTGTGGCGTTTCCGCGTGCATCTGTGGGATGGAATAAGTATTTTCCCCCGTGATCAAACAGGCTTGGAAAACTCCGGGCTGGGCGGAGCTAGCCAGGCCTCTTCCCTGAAGACCTTCTCAGAGCCTTTGACGCCAATGCTGACAGGCGTTGTGACCTTCCAAGAGGCAGGTGGAGAGTGCAGCTTTTGCAAACTTTCAGTGGAGCGTTTCATAGGGTTCATGCCCTGGGGAAGGCATTTGGGAAACGCTGATTGGACCCAAGCTCTTAAATCAGTCAGTGGGGAAACTGAGGCCCAGAGAGCGGAGTCTGCACAGCAAGTTGGTAGCCAGGCTGGGAGCAGGACCCTGAAGTCCTGCGTGCGGGGCCCCCGGCTGGTCTTCTCATTTGGACTCCTTGTTCCTCTCTTGCCCGCTCCCACCTCCCCAGGCTACGCTGACCACATGGGGCTCACCCGGTTCCGCCGGCGATTCCAGGCGCTGGACCCTCTGCTCATGAAGAAGCTCATGTTGGCCACCGAGAGGATTGACGAGAGGAAGGTACGTGGAGTGGGGGGCGACGGGGGCTGGAGGCCTTGGATGCTTCTGTTCCTTAGGACATGACCCCAGGGGGCATCTGGACCCGCTGAGATCGGAGAGCCAGGCCTTGGGGACAAAGATGAGGGTGGCGTGAGTTTTGGCCCAGATCCCTGCTCCGGACTGTACCTCCTGCAATGTCACTTAGGACACTACCCGTCCCAGAGTGGCCCTTCTGAAACCCTGCATGAGGAAGCGCAGGGAAAGAATCAGATGAGAAGAGTGCAACCCAGTGAGCAGGGCCCTCAGCAAGATGAAGACCGTCCTTTCCAAAGAGAGTTCCCCTCAGCACACAGCACCCTGAGCTAGGCTAGGCAAAGAGGGCTTCACCGTCTGAAATGTCTGGGGAGCGTTTTCTCTACAATGAGACCCTGCATCGTAGAGAATTACAGTGAACACCTCCCCAGGGCTTTTGCACCAGCTGTTCCCTCTGCCTCAGCACTCTATCCTCCAATCTTTGCATGGCCAGTGCCATCCTGCTATTCAGATCTTGGCTCAGACACTACTCTCCATCACATCGTCTTGTTTTAATGTTTGTGTAGCACTTATCCTTGTCTGAAATTACGTAGACCCCCTATGTGTTTTCTGGCTTATAATTTTATGTCAAACAAATGAATGAATGAATACGTATACCTAACCTTGTATTTCTGCCCCTGTGTGTCTCCTTTCTCCAACTCTAGGCTCCTAGGGCTGTAAGCTCATCTTTACTCCTGGTGCCAAACCATCAATAAATGTGTCTATCAGAATGGCCACAAATGATCAATGATTACAGAGATCTTTAGAATTTGCAAAACCCTATTGCGTCCTCAAAACAGCCCTGCACAACAAGAGCTGTTACACGCCTTTTACAAATGAGGAAAGGGAGGCATCTGGGGGTCGATTGACTCCCCTGAGGCCACCCAGGCAGGCATGGGTGGGTTTTGGCCTTGAACCCAAATTTCTTGATTCCAGGGAGGGTAGTTGAAATAATGTGGACTCCAGAGTCTAACAGACCTGTAGATGATTCCCTTCTAGGGACGTGTGAACTTAAGCAAGTTAATTTATCTTTCTGCCTCAGTTTCCTCATCTGGAAAGAGGGAACAACAATAACTCCTACCTCAATGGGGTGTTTGGGGATGAAATGTAATAGTATAGTGGATGTGCTTGACACAGGACCTGGTGCTTAGGAAGGGCTCAGTACGTACGCACTACTGTCATCAGCATCATCAGCATCAACGTCAGCACCAGCATCATCATCGTCTTTCAAGGCCAGACTCTATATTCACAACCGTGTTGAAACCTGACCTCCAGGTGAGAGTGCCCGTGTGTGCCTGAGACATCAGCACTGGAATCCTCAGTGAGTCATGAGGCTAGAGAAGCAAACAGAGTCACAATAATTAGGTCCTTCTTGAGTCTTCTCTGCAGTAAGGGACACAGCATAGGCCACCTCCTGCAGACGGGGCAGCATCTTCTATGCGGCCCTCCTACCTCACCATGGGGAGGGGGCGTCAGACCCAGCTAGTGTGGTGCTGGGCTCCCCCCTCCCTGGGTGGAAGCCCATTTTGGAAGCCGTGAAACTCTGCCTGGCTTGGTGCCGCCAACCACTCTATACCGATCTTCATTTAGCGTTCCTTAGCATCCTTGGTCCCCCGAAACTTGATCTCTGCTTGGAGCATCTGGAACGGAGCCGCTGTAAGGGTCTTGGACTCCTCTGCAGCTGAAAACAGCACCAAAGTGAGTGGTGGGGGAGTTTTCTGTGGGGAAAACGGGTGTAGCATATGGACGCGTTTCTATTCTGGACGACTCAGCAGTTCTCTGTTGTAGCCAAACCGAAGCCACCTCCGTCCCCACGCTGGAGGCCTCAGAAAATGGAAAATTACAAGGGGAAGAGCCTTGGTTGGGCGTTTTTGCTTCTTATTATTCTTTTTTTTTTATTTGCTCACAAATTTCATTTGCTGCAGCAGAGGATTTTGGTGGCGACAAAAGGAAACGCCATCCTGCCTCTTATGAAAAAGCTGATAAATATTCATTTGCTAGGCAACGTGATATGCCATGAATTATACATGAACACGTGCTCGGGGGGCAAACTGTCAGCCTCTGTGTGCAAAGCAGTTAAGACCTCAGGATTTAATAAGACAAGTGTGACAGCTAGAAAAGGTCAATATTGTCATTAGACACTAGACGGCAGCAGAGGGAATTCATTGTCAGGGTGTAAAATGGGCCACGGTGAGGTCCCCTGTGTGCCTAACATGTGGCGTCTAAACATTGGTTTTTCCTATCAAGACTGTTTCTCAAGACAGTATTCTCCTTTGGTGGTACCTGCTGGATATTTTGTGTTCCCGAAATAAAAATACCGCTATTTTTAGCAACTTTTAGGCTTTTAGCACATGCGCACAAACTCCCATCACAGCATATCATGCACGTTGTGATAAAGGTTACAGGTCGTTGATCTGAAACAGCCACCAAAAGAGAAAGCCTCCCCCCATCTGGGGATTACCCCCATTTCACAGCAGAGGCCACTGAGGCTGTCACCACCCAGCTGGGTCGTGGTGGGGCTGGGATGTGAACTCAGGCTCTCAGATCCCTCAAACAGGGCTTTTTACTTTTTATTCTGGTAAAATACACAGAACGTAAAATTTCCCATCTTCACCATTTTTACATGTGCAGATCAGTCGCCTTAGGCACATTCACGTTGTTGTGCAACCATTACCACCACCCCTCTCCAGAACTCTTTTCATGTCGCAAAACTGAAACTCTGTCCCCATTCAACACCGGCTCCCTGTCCCTTCCCCCACCCCCAGCTCCTGGCAGCCACCATTCTGCTGTCTCCTCCATGGATTTGACTCCTCTAGGTCTCTTCATGTAAGTAGAATCATATAGCGTTTGCCCCTTTGTGACTGGCTTATTTCACTTAACATAATGTGCTCAAGGTTCATCCATGTTGTAGCAGGTGTCAGAATCTCCTTCCTTTTTAAGGCTGCATAATATTCCATTGTATGCATATACCTCATTTTGTTTATCCATCCATCCATCAATGGACTTGGGTTGCTTCCAGCTTTTGCCTCTTGTTACAATTTGTCTATTGTTAGTTATAATAATGAATGATGCTGCCATGAACGTGGGTGTATAAATATATTTTCAATGCTCCGCTTTCCATTCTTTTGGGTGTACACCCAGAAGCGGAATGGCAGAATCATACAGTAATTCTATATCTAATTTTTTGAGGAACTGCCAAACGTTTTCCAGAGTGGCTGCACTATTTTACATTCCCACCAACAATGTGCGAAGGTTCTAATTTCTCCACATCCTTGCCAACATTTTTTATTCTCTGGTTTTTTTTTTTTTTTTTTTTGATGGTAGCCACCCTGATGGGTGCGAGGCGGCATCTCTTGGTAGTTTTGACTCGCGTTTCCCTGATGATCATGATGTTGAGCAGCTTTAATGCCCACACAGCACTGTTGAATGGAAGCCCTTTGAGGACAGGCAGGGTGTTGGTGAGGTTCTGTACAGGACGTGCCACCCATGATATTAATTTAAAATAATTATTGAATTCACCCAACTTTAACCAAGTGCCTGCTGTGCGTCTGCTGTGCTAGGTGCCAGAGACACAAGAATGGACAGAACATAATCTCATGGGGGGAGAAAGACTAACACAAGCAATTCCCGTACAGAGGGATGGCTTTGGGACCCAGAGAACACCCCTAAAACTTTTGATATTTGCAGCAAGGGTGAGGGTGGGGCAGTCAGGGAAGACACCTCAGAGCAGTGACGATTGAGTTGAGACTGGGGGACAATTTGGAAGAGGTAAGAGAAAGAGCACAGGCGTTCTCACTCAGGCTACAGCACGCCAGAGACCTGGAGTCACGAGGTCACATGGCTAGTTTAGTATAGCTGATGCCAAGTGCCAAGAAAAGGGGCTGAGGATGTTGGCAGGGGCCGGACCAGGGCTCCTTGTTAGCGGGGACAAAGAGTTGGGTTCTATCAGGCCGTCAGTGATGGTCCATTGAAATGTTATCTTCAGAAACACGGCATAGAAGACCTGACCTTTATTACTTGAACTGGCTTAAGCAAAGTTATGAAGGAAGTCAAGTGCACTCTGCCCATTCTCTGCTCCTCTCTGGAGAGCAGCGTCCTCATGCTGACCTCCAGCTATTCAGGATGCTCCTGTCTCTTCTAGACACCCAGGCACATGCTCAGGTCTCCGGAAGGACACTATCTTCCCCCTTTAATCATCTTGGGTCCATTCCTCTCTCCCAGGTTATCCCATGTAGTTAAGAGTATGCCTTAACCTGCAGTGAAACCCACCCAGAGTGACTAATCGTGGCATCTCAGACAGGTCCGTGGAGGAGCTCTTTCAGCTCATCTTGCATATGTCCCAGATTCTGCCCCTTCAGTCTCTCTACTGCTGAGGCTGCTCTCAGCAGTGTGAGGGAACCTTGGGCTCACCTCGCCCTCTTCTCCTCAGAATGTCTACAGTGTAGATTGATTGATTTTAGTCAACAAAATCTGTGTCCCTGGGGACTTGAGCTGAAGAACACAATTAAGGGCTGTCAATTCATCTTCTCAAAGGCAGCCATTCTTGTTGTGTCTCAAACCCTGGTGGACACTCCCAGTTTTCTCTGAATTTTGGCCGAGTCCCTTTCTGCTGGGAAGAAGCCCCTGTAAGCCCATGGCTGGGAGAGGGAGCTGTCCGCTCTCAGGGTGCTGAACGACTATTCGGAGTCTCCCATGGCCTTAGCCCTCTGGAATTTTTTCATTATCATTTTCTTGCTCACCTTGCTGTCCTCCATTTTGAGTCTATTGTTTTAATAATTTTACCTGTTTTCCATTCACTGTTAACAACCCAATTATGCGTGTGTATGTGTGTGTGCACACACGTGCTTATTTGTTTGTTTGTTTATACAGTTTCTGCCCTGTGCTGGGCATTCTGTTTACAGTCTTGAGCATATCAAGATCAATAACAGACGCCTAGTCCCCACCCTTAT